GAACACATATGTATGAAAATAAAATTTAAAAGAAAATGGAAAAAGAAGAAAAAAAAAATGAGGAGAAAAAATTAATAATGGTCATATATTTTTGCTTTGTTTAATTACTATGAGCACTGCTTTGTTAACACCTGCACAATATGTACTATATATATATATATATATATATATATATATATATATGAGGAGGCACAGAGGAGTAATGGATAGTGGCTTGGATTGAGGAATCGGAGAGCCCAGTTTGAATTCCAGTCGAATCCATTATATTCACTTACATCCTAATACCTTTAGGAAAGGTGTGAATCCTCTTCTCCCTCCAGCTATGGGCAAATAGCAGGACAGACTGGGATCTATAGCCTTGGATGGCAACTGGTCTAGAAGGACAACTCTGAATTCAAAACCTGCGGAGGGTCATTTGGGAACCTTGTCATGTAGTGCACCAGGTCTCTGTATTCAGCCCTTCAAAAAGTGTGGATGTTCCTGCACGAAACCTTCAACACTATAATCAAACCTCATGTGCTGTTATCGGGCTGTCAGTTTCCTGGGAACTGATCTGCTTGCCCCTCATACTTTGAATTCGATGGGAGAGTCAAGAATATATATATATATATATATATATATATATATATATATATATATAGTGGATATATGGAGTGAGTAATAAATATACATACACCTCCAAAATGACCGAGTTGCATTTACAACACAATCTTCAGGTGCAGAATTCCAAATGATTCTTTTACATTTTGGATCAAAATATATCTGGCTATCACGATGCTGATGTGGTGATATTTAATGTTACAGATTTTTAATATTGAACCTTAAAAATAGTAAACTTAACAAAAATAACTTGGTGAAAAGAAAGAGAAGAAAATTATCAAAGTATGAAAATAAAATTTAAAAGAAAATGGAAAAAGGAAAAAAAAAAAAAATAGAGGAGGAAAAAATAATAATGGCCATATATTTTTACTTTGTTTAATTACATTAAGCACTGTTTCATTAACACCTGCACTATATGTGTGATATATTACTATACTCGCAGCATGGCCTGGCATTGCCCATGCTTGATTCAAAAATCGTACGACCTATACAGCAATCGCTATCACTTGACTTAAAATATTTTTGCCCTTCCTTGCCTTTAAAGGAGTGCCCTTTGCCGTGCTGATGTTGCTACATGCCTTACTTGTTGGCTATCTCACACAGCGAAATTTTTCTAAGCTCTATACTAAACATTAAATCTATTACGGAAAAAGAACTAAACAAAATGAACAAAAAACGATCAGCTTTAAAAAAGGACTCATAACTGGAAAAACCGAATGAAAAAACAATGTTAAGAACAAATACTTTTTCACACCCAACCCAGTTCCGCAGAATCAGAATCAACGTTGAGTTTAAGCAAGCGAATGAGCCAATTGGAGTAAAGTGCCATGCAGATTTGAATTTTTCACACTTGTGATGAATGCAGCTATCGATTTTTTTTTTACATGCTAGCATGCTAGTTAAGATTCATGTCAGTCAGCTGTTGGGTCTCATGCTGGCCAATAGAATCTTCCTGCCTATTCATGACAGCCAGCTATAGGCTCTCACTCTGGCCAGTAGAAAATGGCCGCAAACTACATGAAAACTGCCGTAGAAGCATGAAAAAAATCGATTATTTCCACTATTGATGGGAGTTGGGAAATACAAAGTGGGTCTTGGCCTTCCTGATAACTTGGAGCATGTGCATGCAAATTTTGGTGCAAATCCGTCGAAAATTGTGGCCGTGCATTCGTTACACACACACATCCTGCCTTTTATGGATAGAGTTATCCTTTATCTTTATATATATATATATATATATCTATCTATATTTATATATATATATATATATATATATATATATATAGCATAAATAATCTTCAACTTTATTAAGGCTGGAAAATGAGGATTGAACATTAAGATCCAACATAAAATATCAAAAACAACAAATCAAATTTATTCATAAAAAAAAGAAATTAGTCTTTTAAACAAAAAATTAGTATGTTTTTCAGTATAATTTTTACTCAGAGAAGGAACAAGAAGAGCTCAAAGAAAAAGATACAATGATCGATTCAAGGTTTGAGATTTGACATTCAACTGTCTAATTATGAAATATCTGCATGTGACCAATCAATGTGGAGAAGAATTTGCCATCATGGAATGAAGAAACTTGTGACCAAAGATGCCGATACAGTGTCCAAACAAGGAATGGACAAGCAGTGATAACAAGAATCAACAGCCCAAATATCACAAGGCAATTTCCATGCAGTGTGGGAAGAATATGCTTTTCAAAGATCAAACATGAAAGCCATCAAAGAAAACATTCTAGTCACCTTCTCGTTAAGGAGACTCACCAATAATGTATATGATGACTCAATGACCCAGGGTTGAAATTAAAATATTTATCCAAGTTTAATGAATAATTTGGTCATGGTAAGTTTCTTTTTTGAATTCCCAAGTTCTTTGAAATATTTTAAGATGGACAACTCTGGCGATATCCAGCTTTCTACTGACATACAAAGAGGTCTTCTGTTTGAACCACAGTTACGGCCACTCTGATCTTGCATATTTTCCCACATATTAACTTACTATTAGTAAGGAATGATTAAATAATAATTAAAAAATTACGTAATTAATTATCATAATTTGCTGCTATTTATTTCTGAATCTTTCCTTTCCATATGTGTCACTTGTATTGTAGCAATGTCCATGGATGGTATAGTACCAGTCTGTAAATGGCCATTTCCCCATGTCGGGGATGTGTTCTGGGAATTGATACTGTCAAAATTAATGTCTTTCATGGGGAGAAGGGATCCGTCACAGTTTGCACCGTTTATCTGTAAAATTGGTAAAGGATTTGGGTGTGGCTGAACTGGATCTTCTTTGACACTTTCCAGAATTGGAGGGTTAATTTTTTTCTTTGTGGTGTTGTAACCTTTTCTAGGCATTGATGCTGATGGAGAAGGACTCCTTTTTGTCCTGCTTGCCATGACACCAGGAGTCACTGGACGGTCCATATAATACATGGAATTGTCTTTTGTCCGATTGTCATAGAACATGGGAGAGATTGTCTGTGGCGACTGTGGTGCATGACAAATCGTGAAGAAGAGAATGCTGACAAGAGAACTGATGATGACACCAGTGATGCCGAAACAGATGAGAATGATGCCGATGATTTTTTTACCTTCTTCAGTCTGTAATTCCACTGGAAGAATATCAATGTTTATGTTGATCATGTCATAATTAAGAATGAAGCATACACCAATGCTGGTCATTATCACCCCTCCTAACGACACAAGGACAGCAACAACACAACAACAGCATTGTGTTTGAGAAGAGTGAAAGGATTCCATCTGCAAAACAAAAAAAAAGAAAATCATTAATATATTTAGCACTATCAGTATAACTCATCTTCGAATGGGTCTTTCATTACTGGGAATTTTTGCCATTCAAGTGGAGCAGTTTAAGTTTAAAGTCAGCACACCTGAAAATCAATATTAGTAACAACTGGGTGCAACTGATGCACATCCCCAAATGGGGAGTTAACAATTTAAAAGGGGATAGCCCTGAAAAAAGCTGTTTTTGTGTCCTCAATCTTGTTTCGACCTTATGCACAGCAGCAGTTGAAGAGGCATTTCTCTTCAGCCCTTGAGTCTTTTGATCATCATTCATTTTCAGCCTCACACGAGAAGCGTTAAGGTATGCTCTTCTGGAAAGCCGATGGTTATGTTGATCTTCAGACTCAGTGGCTCTGATAGGAAGCACTCCAAGAGGCATTTTGAGACAGGTGAACTGAATGTTCTAAAAACAATTCATTATCTCTTATTCGTTTTGCAACCTAGGCAAGTTCTTTTCTTTGGTGGCATTTCTTAGGCAAGTATGAATTGTCAAATGGAATGCATAGGCAAATACCAGAAGAAAATGCTGTAAAGCTACAGGGATCACTACGAAACAAACACGCAAACACACACATACATACATTTTGAGAATTATAGATATAGATAATATTGTTGTAATAATTTAAACTATTAATTTTTATTAAAGTTTTAATGAAAAATATATATCCAAGAACAGATAGTAAATAGTAAAACATTGTTGAGAGTTATAATGGACAGGAAGTAGTGAAGAGCCATTGTCGCCAACAATTTGGTCTCAAAACCGGCACTGAAGAATTATCTATCAAAGAAAAAAATCATCGAAATCAGATGAAAACCATGGAAACGCATAAACATCCGATCACACACACACACACATTTTGAGAATTATAGATATTTATATTGTAAGTAAACATGATATTAAAATTCTGTATCTTCCTCCCATCACACTTCTATTAAACCCTGCCACTACCTTAGAAAATAATGGACCATTCTGTTTTGATTTCGAGGAAAGATGGAAGAAAAAGATAGAGATAATGTTTGTTTTTAACAAGAAAAAGAAAACATACATAATAAGAAGAAAAAGAAATCTTAATTTTTAAAACAAACATTGATGTAATATTTCATTAATTGAATAAAGTCTTCATCACGTTTAATTAAAAGAGTAAATTATATACCTTGCCATTGCCTCAGATAAATAATGAACCATTCTGTTTTGATTTCAAGGAAAAATTAAAGGAAATATCAGATTGTTTCATTTTAGTAAGAAAAGAAAGCATTCATAATAATAGAAAAGAAAGCAATCTTATTTTTTTATAAGTAATAAGGTTGCTGGAAAATAATTATTAAAACAAAAATCATTGTAATATTTCATTAATAAAATAATAAAATCTTCACCTTATTAAATAAAAAAAGCTATATTATACACCTTGCCATTACCTCAGATAAATAATAGACCATTTCTTTTTTGATTGTGAGTGGAAAAAAAAGATACATCAGATAAGCTTTTAGTGAGAAAAAGAAAGCATATATAATAAGAAGAAATAAGAAAAAGAAAGAAAAGGAAGATAGGGAAAGTGATAATGCCATTAGTCACTTAATGCTTACTTCTGAGAAGAAGAAACAAAGCAAGGAGAGAAATAGAAAGGAAACGCAAATAGATTCTGAGTTAAAATAATGGATACCAACAAATGAAAGAGATGAAGAAGAAAAATTATGCAAAAAAATGTTAATTTGTGATAATTTGAATATATTTTTGTTTTACTATATATATATATATATATATATATATATATATATATATATATATATATATATATCCAGAGCTGTCTAACACCTGTTGGAGGAATCCATCCCTGATTGATGTCTTCACAGGTGTAGCCATACTCACCAATGGCCATTTGCAGGTTGGTGAGACTATTTAACATATGGTGGGAGGTTTTGAATTCAAAGTTCCTTTTCTACTAAACCGGTTGCAACCAAGGACCTCGTTTGTCCTGCTTTTTATCCATAGCTGAAGAGATGAATTGATAATTTTCCCTAGAGTATTTTCATGTAAATTTCTTTATATATTGAAAGGCTCATCTTAAAACCTATTAACGAAACAAACTAGCCCCCTTTTTTAAAATATATGTCCAAAGGCTAAGCCAAAAATTAAGAGACAGGAAATTTTCATTACACACAAAAAAAATAGCACTGAACTGTGATGCAATAGTGGTCCTCCTTTATGGCAGTGAATACTGGACAATCTCTTCATAGATGAAGAGACTTGATACAACAGAAATGTGGTTCTACAGCAGGATGCTGAGAATACATTAGAATGAACATGTGAGCCACAACATAGTTTTACAGAAAATGGAAAAAAAATGAGTTATAATTAACATAAGATAAACCAGAAAATTTTTTTTTAATAATTAAATAATAGTAATAACATTAAATGTCATTTTTTTGGCATGAATAATAGAAGATTATATTGGACATAAATTGAGGGTCTGGTTTTCAATTGCAATTAAGTAATAAACTGATTCTAATAAAGGTTACTTGACCCTTCCATCGAATTCGACGTATGAGGGTCAAGCAGATCAGTTCCTAGGAAACCAACAGCAGCACATGAGATTTGATTATAGTGGTGAAGGTTACATGCAGGACCATCCACACTTTTTGAAGGGTCCGATTAGAGACCTGGTGCACTACGTGCCACAAGGTCCCCAAATGACCCTCCGCAGGTTTTGAATTCAGAGTTGTCCTTCTCCTAGACCAGTTGCCATCCAAGGCTATAGATCCCAGTCTGTCCTGCTATTTACCCATAGCTGGAAGAAGAAGAGAATTCACACCTTTCCCAAGGGTATTAGCATGTGAGTGAATGTAAATGGATTTGACTGGAATTCAAACTCAGCTCTTCGATTCCTCAATCCAAGCCGCTATCCATTGCTCCACCATTACTACATATTAATATAACTGGAAAAATAAATTGAAAGACCAAAATGTAAAGCACTTCTAATAATAGGATTTAAAAAAAAAATTAGATTGCCATTTTTAAGGCAAAGATATATTAATATTAACAATCAGGCGTAAAATGGAGTACTGCAGTCATATTTGGGATGGAGCTGCCCAGTTCTCATGTTCCAGTTTTAATAGTCCAAAAGTGTTTCCATGTCCTTGTGCCTGACAAATTATTTTCCATTCTGTAACTCCTCTCTCACAAATGGGATGTTGCAAGCCTCTCATAGATATATTGCTACTTCTATTTTATGATGTCCTGATAATAAAAGTGGAATATTGAATGCATCAAAACACTTGGTTTCTTTTGTAAAATACTTTCTTCGGCTATAACTTCAGGAAAATGGTTGACAAGAACAAATGCATAAATACAGAGTCATCATCTTGGACATTCAATCTAACATGTTAAAAGGAAAACTATATGTGCATTTATAATTGCATTTGCAGCAGAAAAGTCTGCTTTTACTGCAGATAATCACTAGATAAACTTTATATGAGAATGTTCTTTGCATATTTGTTTTTAAGAGGAAGCCAAGTCTTTAACAGTAATCTGTGATTTTAATCAGATAAGAGAGGCTGAAAATGGAGTACTGTTGTCATATCTGGGCAGGAGTTGCCCAGTCTTGATATACTGCATTTGACAGCATACAAGATGCACGGGTGTATAAGATGCACCCCAATTTCAGCAGGGCAAATCAAGAAAAAATTAGTAATTAGTAAACTTACATGACATACAAGATGCAGGGGAATTTTAAAAGATATTTTTAGCAAAAAAAGTGTGTCTTATATGCCATCAAATACGGTAGTTCAAAAGCATCTGTGATCCCTTGAAGAAGAATTATTCCCCCCCCCCTCCAACCTCTCTTACAGGAGGGATGTAGCAAGTCTCTCACTGCTCTATCACTACTTCCATGGAAAATGCTTGGATGAGCTACATTCCTTGGTTCTGCCATGTCTAACCTTCACAGCTAGGAACTGCCATGCCACTTACACTGTAGCAAATCAGACTCCCAAGAGGATGTTTCCCCGATCACTACAATCTTAACCTGTTCAAGTCTAGAGTTAATCATTATCTTCCCCTCCTATCTGTATAAACTACTCCTTAACATAACCCTCTATTTTGAGTGACCCCTGGACCTTGTGCAGAGTGAACCTTACTATAAAAAAAAAAAAAAAAAAAAAAAAAAAAAGGTGTGTCTGATGGGATGTGGCAAGCCTCACACTGCTCTATAGATACTTTATGAAAAGTGCTATGTTCCTTAGTTCATCCAGTTCTAACTTTCTGTTGTGGTAAACCCTCTTACAGTATAATGAACTCTTCCTCCTCTCATACATAGAAACTGCGAGAGTCGGATGAGAGGAGGGTGAAGTGGAGTGGAGTAGTAGACGCAGTGCTAATCTACTTATTACTAACCCTATTGTTTTGTATATATCTTCTATATACTTTTTTAACCTACCTTCATCTTCCGTGTCTTTCATTCTGGCCCTTAAACAGGCCACAACACTTTCATAGCTAGGATCTGCCATGCTATGTACATTGTAGCAAACTACTCTCATTCTCTTTATATTCCATTAATGAGAAGTTCCATTCAAGCAGCTTCTTCCCATGAGCCTTTGCTCAGTGGAACTGACTAGAATCTGTTAGTCTTACTAAAATTTTTGCCTGTTCAAGTCTTTGGTTAACCAGTATCTTAACCCATCTGCTAAGAAAGTTGGTTCACTGCAAGACAATTTTTCTCTCTAGAATCTATTTTACATAAATTTACCATTCATCCATGTTTAGATAATCCAAAGAATCAGCAATATTATTGGTCCTGATTTGGCAGCTCAGCTTCACTTACTTTCCCACCACTGTAAGGTTGCCTCTCTGTGCCTTTTCTATAAATACTCTCATGGTAATTGTTTGAATGAGCTCTTCACTATGGTACCTATGCTTTTTGAATTTAAACACCATACTGGTGTCTAGATCTAAATTTACAGTTGTGCTTGATAGATGTAGCTGTAAATTCTATTCTAACAGTTTCTTTTCTCAAACTTCTCACTTGTAGAAATCCCTTCTGGCTTCATGCTTTCCAGTCAACTTTAATCTGCAAAAATTTAAATGCAATGTCAATAGTTACTGTCTTTCCGCCTTCCCGCTCATTATTAATGTTTCTGTTCCTAATTCTTACACCTTGTAATCCCTTGTGTCTCAGTGGATTTACTACCTTTCAATGGGGGTATACTGATTAAAAAAAAACAAAAAACATCTTGCTCTGTAACCTTCTACTTTGAATGGCTCACGGGCCTTGTACAGGGTGACCCAAACTGTAAAAAATAACTAGCCAGGAATTTGAACTCTGCTCACAGATTTCATTTTTCTTGATGCTATCATTATACTAGCTGTACATGCTTGAGCTGACAGTCACGACTTATTGATATCAAAACCTTTGTATTATAGTTACCTGAGAGGAAATTGATCTTTAAAATCTGCCTTGTGAACGCAATATTAACATGACTTTTTTTATTGCTCTATGTTCCTTCAAAGGTTGACTTGTATTTTTCAATTGATAACAAAGCAGTGGGACATTTTTACAATCATCAGACAAGAAATTTATGATGTGTGAAATGAAACAACATAATATGTAAATATTTACAACCTGTTGCTTAGCAACCTGTATGAGGAAGCCGAACAATTTCTTGAATATGATATGCTGTTGTTAGTGGGGGACCTTGTCATAGAATCAGGTTCATAGATTTTTTTTTGATTTCAATTGCCTTTTTTTTTTATTTTTGGACATAAAGAAAACAAAAGAGCAAAGCTGATACAAATAGCCATTCTTTATGTGCCATGTCTCTTCCGGACGTAGGTGGTCATGGCTCTCCACAACTTCCTGTCCCTTGTAGGTCTTAATAAATTTATTTTTTAGTTATCGCTTCTAAACCCTGTTCCACCATCTATTTACTCAAGCTCACTATGTATATTATGTTTTGTTTTCTTCTGTCCCTCTTGCCTTCAATCTGGCCTGTGAGTATCTAATTTTCCAAGCCCTCTTTCCTCATTATGTGCATGAGGAATTTCAACTGTCACTTCCTGATGTATATATAAGTTTCCTTTTTGTTGCTAATTTCTCTAAAACTGTCATTGCTGACATATTCATTCCATGGTAACCTCAGCATCCTTCTGTAGAAACACTTTTCTTTTGCTTCAAGTCTTTTCTTCATCTTTGAGGAGACTGTCCAGAATTCACTGCCATATAAGAGGACAGATACCGTGTAATGGTTCAGCACTCTTGACGTTGTTTAAGATTGCCAAATTAACAATTTTTCATTATATCTGGCTGACTTTAACTCAGTTTAGTCAATAAAAATCTCCATTTAATTTTTGTTATATTTTTATGGTTCTGGATGCATCTACATTCAACTTACAGACTTGTTTTGTTTTTTTCATATAAGGTCATACAACTATTTTATTCTTACAACTTTTTAAAATAACTGATTGAAATGGTGATCATCAGCTATGTATGATTGATTTGTATATAAATAAACATGTAATTTTTTTCATGAGTAGTTTTGCTAGTAACACTGCCAACCAGTATTGTTTATTTAAACTCAGATCTGGGTTTTCCAATTCCTGTGTTGTTTTTTAACTTTGAAATTTGAAAGTGTGCTGAGCAGTGATATA